AGAGTATTATTCTCGTCTTCTCTTTACCAAGAGGAAAGCCAGGCTCATGGTGCTTGTTTAACTGAAGTCTACGCTTCCTGATTCCTTCGGCTTTGCTATGCCGCCTCTCTGAAATATGCTAATACAGTCCTAACCAGGTTCTAAATTAGGAAGAATACTCTTTTTTTAGGTTGAATTTTTACCGATGTGAATCATTCTGTTTTCCTCACCCACTGGACTTTGTCTCTTTAAAGCGAATTGAGCATCCATGGAGGCGCAGGCTCCCTCTCCCTGCCTGCATAGAAATGCTCGGAGATGTTTTGTCTTTTAGACAAAACAGTAATACATGGACCTGGTAAAAAAAAAAAAGAAAAAAAAATTCAGATGGTGTAAAAGGGTTTGGGGGAAGAGTAAGTGCCCACCCAGCTCAATTTTCTAGTCCTAGTCCTGGAGGCAAACTCAGTAACAGTAGTTTTTTGTGTCTCCTCCTAGAAATGTTCTCTGCACATGTAAGCATTAAGGTGATAGCTCCTTCTCTTTGTACACATGTGGGGGGATACTATAAATTCTGCCCCACACTCATTAACGGTACAGCAGAGATTTTTCTGTACCAGTACGTGCTACGCAACCTCATTCTTTTCAATAGCTGGTTAGCATTCCGTTGCCCAATGGTCCATAATTTATTTAACTTGTCTCCTGCTGATGATAACGTGAGTCAGTTCTAGTCCTTTACTATTAACAAGGGTTCACCAAATATCCTGTACACATGTCTTTGTGCACACATATAAGTAGGTTTGGAGGATAAATTCCTGGGGATGGAATTTGTTCTTAAGACTTCTAGTAGTTAATATTCCACAGACTTTCTTAGTCACTCACTTCCCCTCCTGGTATCTTTTGGGGGGGAAGATCTGACCTAAATCATATTTGCTTGCGAGTAGAAGTCCTGTTCTCAGGCTTTGGCTTTCAGGAAAATTAAACACTGGGTCACCGCTGCTTTTTTAATGTCCTGTGTTTGGAAAGCATTATTGAGTTACCTGTGCTCTAAGCTTTACTTCTTCACGTTGGAAAATCTTAGCTTCTTTTCCTAAAGGTTCTGCTTACAGATTTATAGTCACAGTTATTCATTGCAATGAGACTATCTCTAATTTCACAAATGGGCCAAGGATCTCAGCTGTGTTATCGTGACGTGTTTGAGGAACATCCTGAGTAGGCGTTTGTTACTTGGAAATGGGACCTTCCCCAGAGAAGGTGCCTGTGTCAGGGCTCTGATCACTCAGCCAAAGTGGACAATGGGCTATGGGACTCTCCCAGCCACCCCACTGAGGGATGATATTCGAAATACTTAACAACCAGAAAGAGGTAGGGACCTGTCAGTCTCCCTGGGCACTAGCCCTAGTGCTGAAGCAGGGCGGTGCTGGAGGTCCTTGCTGAGCCAGGCTCTACCCCAGGGCAGGGTACATGGTGTGGTTTGTGGCGGGGCCATGGAAGTTCAAGGCAGCATCAATCATCTAACTGATATGGACATATTCCAGGTTTTAACCACCCGTGTGGCCACCCAGAAGCAGGCCGGCTGAACATCAGGAGGACTTGCGAAGTGTGATGTGGTTTAACAAAAAGCCCATTGGTCTGCAGTGGGAGACCGGGTCTGAGTCAGATGTGGGTCTCTTATTCGCTATACAACCTTCAACCAGACACTAACACTTTTATTGTCTCCAAATGAAAGACTTTACATCATATAATACCTAGCGCCTCTTCTCACTCTAAAATTGGAGGAAATAAATAGGCAAAACGATCGAGGAGGTGGGTTCCAAACCTGACCTGTATTTCTGGCATTTTATGTTTATTTCATAACGATGCCTTTTTCCTACCTAAGTTCCAGGAAAAAAACAAAAGGAATTGATTTGGGGGAAGGATCTGAAAAAAGATAGACTATTGGTTGGCTTAGGCAGCATGGGGTATGTTATAGAATTGTGCAAAGTGTTGAGTCAAGATGAGATTCAAATCCTGACTAGGCCACAAGGATATTCATTTGTTCGTTAATTTATTCACTTACTCACAAAATACTTCTGGAATTTTTATCTAGTGTTAGGCTCTGTTCTGAGCACTGGGAATGGAATAATGAAGTAATGTCTCTTCTGTTTTGGATCTTACATTCTAGAGAAAATCGGGCAAGCCACTACACCTCTTTTTAGATCTACGTTTTTCTGTCTGTTTATTCTTTCATGGTAAATAACCCTAGAGCTGTTACTCCCCATTCTGTGAGAACCATCACTAAGCAATTACAGCCCTCCAAGCAACCACAGTCAGTTACTGGAAAATAAGCCTATATGTTTTTTCTGGGCTAGATGAATTCTTAAGTCCTTTCCTGCTATAAAATTTCATTCTTATTAATTATTTACAATTAACTGGAAAAACAATATAATCCTGAGGGAAAATTACAATAGAACTCCAAATCATGAAACTATTGAAACTACAGATTTTACCAAAAAACAAAAAAAAACAACAACAAAAAACCACGGTTGTTTTGGTTTTGTTGGACACAAAAGGTATGTGTTCTCATACAATGATTTTAGATCTTTGGGTCTTAGATTTTCCCTCCACTGTCTTTTGCTGCAGATTCTCCTGTTTAACCCACTTTACTTTGATCCTGGGATAAGGGAGAGGCTCATCAACACTTACTTTTAACTCCTTTCACTTTGGAAACCTCCTCTGTGAAGCCTCCTTTTAGTGGTATCGGGTAGGGCAGAATCACATCCCACTCATTTTGATAAATGCTTCTACTACACACTAGATAACTCAATAGTCGTCAGTAACAGAAGGCCACCTGGGGCCTAACATGGCCATCTGGTCTTTTCTGTGCCACTCGACACGAGGGAAGCCAAACTAAGCTTGGGCTGATATCAAACTCTGGGTAATGTTTTTCTCCCAGATTCCAAAGACACCCTTGCAGCATTTCTATTTCGAATCCCCTCTCCCTACCCTCATCGTAGACCAGCAAGGCCAGCGTGCCCAACCTGAGCTCAAATTGGAAAGAAAAAAAAGTTCGTCGTGTTTCTTTTGAAAGTGATAACTCCACCGTTTCAGGCTTCCAAATGTATCTCTACATAATGAAACGAGTAATAAAGCGGGCGCTGAGGAAAATTTGGCTTATTTAATTCATAATTATAATGTGTATGTATATATACATATATTGTACACATACACACACACACACAGAAGTCTGAGGTTATGAAAACTTTGCTCTCATGATTTCCAACTTATAATGAACCAGAGGTACCTCTTTCTATGATAAAACATGAGAGCGGAGGAATTTAGTGTCCTAGGCTGAGGCTCCCGTAATTTGTGCTCATTTTGGCATTTGGAAACTTGCACAGAAATCAACTCTTCCCTCTCTGGGAAGCCCAGGGAAATAGATTGCTGCCACTATTTAATCATGGATCTTAAACCAAGGAGCGTTTTAGAGAAAGAGGAAAATGATCTGTATCCTTAGTTTGAATTGAATAAATTCATTTCTCTTTGGAGGGAGGGGAGCATGGGAAAGAAGAAGCTCCCATTAGCTTTGTTTAAAACAGCAGGTATTAAATATAGATGAAGTAACTAAGTTCTCCCTTTAAGATTTCTTACGGACACCCTCTTTTCTAGAGCCACAGAGTTCTCCCACATTTGCAAAATAAAGTGGACGGCCCTCTAGTTTTAAGGGGTATGGTTAGGAATATTTGCATAGGGTAATGTGTTGAGTTTATTAGAAAAGTCTGCATAGAAGAAGGAAAAAAACCGTGCAATTTTAAGAGCACGAATTCTGAAACCAAACTGCTTGGATTTGAATCCCGGCTCTACTTCTTATTATGTAACAGTCTCTAAGGCTCAGTTTTTTCATCTGTTAAATGGGGGATAATGATAGAACCCATTCCAGAGATTGTTGTGAAATTAAATGAGATTATTTCTGAAATGTGCTTTGCATATTGCCTGGGCATAGTCTAGTGTTAAATAAATGTGAGTTATTATTTTGGCAGCTGTGCCTCTATTTCTTCATCTGTAGACTGGGAATAATAATGAGGATTCAATGAATTTTTTTGAATTAAATTATCCTTATTTTACAGCAGTGTGGACTATAGTGAGTGCTGCTGAAGTGTTAACTGTTACTATTATTATATATATTCAAAACGCTTTCTTTAACAATAGAGGCAGCATGTAAAAGAGTGGAGCACATAAAACCTGAGCTCAAAACGGTAATTTGGCTCTACCAGTTATTAGCTCTGTGACCTTAGGCAAGTTATTTTACCTCTCTATGCCTCGGACTTTTCATTTGTAGAATGGGACTAATAATAGAAGCTATTTTATAGAGTTGCTTTGAAAACTAACTGGGATAGCTCTGTAAAATGCTTAGCAGGCACCTGGCACATAGTCCACGTTCAATAGATGTTTGCTATTATTTGCAGACTATTTTGTTTAAATGTTCGAAGCTAGGCAGAGGGTTCTAGAAAGAATGTGATTTGGAGAACAATGCTTTTCTGGAGATAATTGAAAGGCAGCTGTCTGGTCATTTACAGATTTGGTCACCCTCCTGGGCTTTCTCTATGCCTCCAGTGGAGAGAACACAGGCATTGTGAAGAAGTTCCCAAGGTTTCAGAACCGTGAGCTGGAGGCCACCCGACGCCAGCGGATAGATTACCCAGTGTAAGAATGGGCAGATGATGGGGGTGGGTAGGGCTAGGCTCTTTTTCTCTGAGAACTGGAGCAGGCTAGTAGAATCTCTGAAGAGGACAAATCTTTTGTTACATGCTTTGGGAAAATGTTGAGGTCTGTACAGCTTAGGCAGATTTTGTGGACCTGAAAACCTCCAAGTATTCTCGAGTTATTCTTGCACTTAGCAATCCTCAGTTTGCCTTAGACTTTATATGTCCATCCCAGGAATGACATGAGTAGGGGGCAAGGCATTGGAGCCTGAGGCCTTCGCAAGATTTGCAGCATAGCCAGCCACAGCCAGCACAGATTGCGGCCTTTGTCCTGCCTTTTCTGTCTTGGAAGATTGGATGATGAGCTGCTGGAAATCTTACTACTTCTGATCTTCTCTGTTGATTTCAGCAAAACTCAAAATTTTTTTTTCCTTCTGCTGAATTGAAGATGCTGAAAATGGTTCCTGGTTCACCTCAGACTGGATGGATTTAGCAGAGTGATTTAATTCTTCCTATGCTGCTGGCTGTAGAAAGATCTTGAGTCACTTTACTGAGCGTATGTTCTTGCTAAGCTTCCTTGTAATAACTTATCTTCATGAGCTTGCTCAGCTGGGTGGGTCAGGAGGGAGCCGTGTGGCACCATCTGTCTGCATATCTTACCACTGATTTGGAGGCCAGATTATAAAGCTCAGAATATTCTAAAGGACTTGTTTGGATATATCCCCAAAGAATCTGAGGTCGCTGATACTTTAACCCAAATTTTGAATTGGTTCCTGGGGTGATGGGGAGAATTTTTTGCATTTGTTTTGACCCTGATTCTTGTTTGATGTGCAAAATTCAGTTACTTCCAGCTCTGCATCTTTGAACTGCTGGTCACTAGCATAGTGTGTGACTTCAAACGAGTGTTCAGCAAATATTTGCTGAGTGATTGATGGATCATATATCGTGGCTAAATGTGTCCTAGTTAAGTTGACTACTGTCATTTTGTCCTCACTCCACAAATCACAAATGTACAGTATTTTTTTTTTAACTAAAATAGTCCCAGTCCAGAAATGGAACAATTAGATTAGTTGTTCCAGATTGGTCAGCCAGAACTGTGATACTGAGCAACCTAATGTGTGCCTTAAAATAGTATATATGTGTCCCGATTAGCATATAGTGATGCCATTTGCAGAGTAGGACACTTTTTCTACCTTAAGGCTTTTATCTTTGAAAGAAACAAAATTGCTCAGAAAGCCCTAATTATGTTTTTTTCTTTTAATCATCGAAATTAGAATAGCTTCTTATCAAATCACCTCTTATTAAAATCCAGAGTTTTATTCTGTGTCTGGTTTTATAAGCCTTAATCAAGAATTCAAATGGTAAGCATGTGAGATTATCAGAGGCACAGAAACAGAGTTTTTGGTGCAAGGTAGAATGTCTGCTAGTTTTGAACGATGATGCTTAACTCCTGTCTTTTACAGCTTCTGTAACTACCTCCTTTGTCTCAAAAATCAAGCTTTGCAAGCTGATCTCCCATGATGAACACACAGGCAAATTCATCCCTTCATTGGAAAGAAAGCAATTTACTTGGTCATTGTTAACTATAATTACCTGTTCTTGGATGATATCAATCTGCAGAATCTTTTTTTCCCCTCACTCTTATAGGTTTACTGTTTCATTGTGGCTTTACTTACTCCATTACTGCAAGGCTAGTCTCTGCGGGATTTTGTACTTTGTTGATTCTAATGAGATGTACGGCACGCCTTCTGTATTTCTTACCGAAGAGGGTAAGTATGAAACAGAACTTTAAAATGATATTGTCATTTTCTTATGCTCTATCTATTGGCAAATATATCTGTATAGAATAAGGAAGATATTGCCAATGTGGCAGTTTAGTGAGAACAATGACTATCAAATGTGGCCTTCAAATTCATCTTTTTTCCTGAAGCTTAAAATAAATGTCTTCTTTACAAAGGAATGAAGTTGTGTTTGTTTTGCTTTGATTTTTATTAAAGGAAGAAGGAAGGTGATCTAGTCTGGTTGCTTCTTCGGACAGTTGTTGAAAAGGTGTAGCTACTTCATTCACTTCTATTTTTTTTGTCATTTTCATGAGCTTTAATTTTCCTTTTAGGCCACTTGCATATTCAGATGCATCTTGTCAAAGGAGAAGATCTTGCTGTGAAAACTAAATTCATCCTACCTTTGAAGGAGTGGTTTCGACTGGATATCTCTTTTAACGGAGGCCAGGTATCTGTAGGCACATCCCCCACTTCTGCCTGTGAATCATATCAGCATCATCACTTAACGTTAAGCATCGCTGTAAAGTCAGGGAGCAAGAAAATCTGTAAAAGCAAATTTGTGGTAAATGATAAACTTTTTACAACTATACACTTTTTTGATCAAACTTTTATAGATGGAAGATTAAATCATAAGAATCCCATCCCATTTAATTGGCTTTTAAAGTGCTTCTTTCGACCATATTGCGAATGAGTAAATAATATAGCCAGCTATATAGCCACAATTATCTGAGGAATTCATTGCTTTTCTCCTGGTGAGATAGGCTTTGTGGAGATAAATGTTAAAACAGCATCAGCCATGTTTGTATAGGGTTGTCAGATCTACAACTTTTTTTTTTTTTTGGCAGGAAATTTATCGGTTAGTTTAGTCGAGAAATGGTTCTACTGTTTTTGGAAGTTGAGACAATGTTTATGTTTGGCATAAACAGACAAGTAATAATTAACAGACCTAAGTGATAATTCAGGTGGAACAGAGGGTCTTTATCTACTTTCTACTATAAAACACTATAACTGTCTCAAACTCTCATAACACAGGTTTTCTGGATTATAAATCTGTTGTTATAATTGAAGACAATTCCATTTTTTTCAGTCTACATGTCAGTATGCTACTTTTTTTCTAGTGGCTTTATTTTCTCATCAGCTTTTCGTATTGATTTGTGATTTTCCGGTAACAAAACTGGAAGAGACATCTTGTTTGTCTTGTGTATTAGATAATACACAGACTTCCCTTGGTGGTTAGGTTTATCACATTTCCTTTTTCCAAAGAGAAAAGAAATCAGGTCGGTCTTTGCTTTTCTGAGGAGAGTCTGTGAAATGTTAGCTGGGATATTTTGTACATTAGTTTGTTTCCTTAACGATGTTAGGTGACATAGCTATGGTCCATATTTTAGTTTCTCATTTACATGAGAACATATGACGACATTATAGCTTGGTTGCTGCTTTTCTCCTGAGAAGGTCAGCTCAGTGCTAGTGTCACTTAGACAGGTATCAAACCGTCAGAGCAAATCACAGATCTTATTTTGCACCTGCTGTACACAAGATAGTGTGCTCAAGGAGCTGATGGACTACTTACGGGCATGATATTAAGCAGGTGAAGGGTCATCGTAAGGCAAGCTTAATTGCCAAACAACAATTTATATTGATTTGGAGAAGAGAGACCGCACTTTATGCTAAGATACTCAGGGAAAGCTTTGTAGAGAAGGTTACTATGAATGGGGAGAATCAAGAGAGGAGAGAGCCGGGGGCATTTTAGCGCATAGGCTGGGGGTGAGCAGATAAACCAGTTTGACTGGAGTAGAAATTTGCAGATTGTAGAACATTAATAGAAGAAGAAACTATCTTTAGGGGGAATGTGGAGAATCTTGAATATCATGGAATTTAGATTTCTACTTGTAAAGCAGCAGGGCTTCTGCTAGAAGCTTTTCTAGCAGAAGAAGAGTAAATCAAAGTAGTTCTTTAATTAAAGAGATGAATTCAATGGCAGAGCACATGATTGGGTAAAGCAGGAGAGAAGAATTAGGAAGACCAGATGGGGTGGAAAGAAAAAGGAGTAGATTTTTTTTTTTTTAGTAGACTTTTTGTCTTTTTCTTTCCATTCCATCTGGTCTCCTTAATATACATAGGTCCCAAAACAATACTTAATTGTTTTTCTACACAAAATCCACATCTGTGGTGTGGCTACGATATTCATTGCTTTGACTAAATAGACAAATTGACTTAAAGTAAATGGTTGGTTTAGAGAAACAACTGGTTTGAGTCATTTTCTTCATTTTATATATGGCTGAACGGGGTTGGTTTTTTATGGGTTAGTTTGTCTTTCACAGACACAGTGCGAAGGCACATCTTTGAGAATCTAGTTAGGCCGGCACAGATTTGGTAAAAACTGGTTCTATGTTGGCACCGGAAGAATCAAAAGGAGCCCGTTAACTCCAAGGGCTTCTGTTGTAATTCAAGACATGAGAAGAATGCATGACGGCTAATAACATCCATGACAAAAACATTGTCATCATTGAAATGACAGCGACGAATCTTAGTGCTTAGGGAAGGAGAGTGGGGGACAGTAGTGCATGAAGTAGTGTTTTTCCCCCTAAGGCTCTGATGAAATCCAAGTAAAATTTCAAAATCTCCTTGTAGTATCTTACACATTTCCTTGTCTTTCTATGCAACAAGCTTTGAAGCACAAACACACCAAATGAACCTTTTGGCTCGTAGTTTTGAAATATCTGAAATCCACTGGGAAAAACTGCATTATAGATCTTTTTACCACATCAAGTCATTTGGAGAAATTAAATTTCTTAAGTCTTAAAATATACACAGGGCTAGTAAGCTGTTAATTTTATTTTTGCGGAAACTGAGCAGGCAAAAGACTATGCAGCACATTTTATGAGTAATTTATACGCAGGACTGTATTTGTGATGTGGGACGTTAAAGCATAACCGATCCTTGTATATCTCTCCCACTGTAGATAGTAGTAATCACCAGCATTGGACAGGATTTGAAAAGCTACCATAATCAGACAATTAGGTAAGTGAGATTTTTCTTTTGATTCAAATATTGCCGGGTGAAGGTCAAGGAATCTTCATGCCTTAGTCCTCAGCGGTAATGTTATTCTCACACCTCCTTATTCACCTTTTCCTAGCATGGAGGAGTCTGCCCTGTGGCTATAGGCTTTGTACTTTCTTTTTTTTTTTTTTCTTTTTACTGTCCACAAACTCTCCCGGTTTCCCCCACAATCTTTTTTTTTCTAAGCAAGAAAAACTAGTTCTCTCTCCAGATCTCATTGTAAATTCTTCCTTTCATGGCACTTTATATAATTCATTTTCTTTGAAAATTATCTTCTGCGAAGGATTCTGAAAAATAAATCAAAGTGTTAATGTTGCTTATTGAGAATAGTTGGTAACTTTGGTTAGTATAAAACATAAAAGCAGACAGTCTTCATATTTATGTTTATAATCTAAATTTGAAATGTATGCAACTGTTGATATTGGTGTAACTTTTCATCTTTATAGAACTGTTCTCTACAAGAGTTACAGAAACGGAGAATTGGGTCCTTTGCCTTGTATTTCATAACTTCTTAAATTTGCTTTTCTATTTCTGTAAAATAGCAGGTTTTATAGTGGCAGAGTGATGGGGCAAGACTCAGGATACCTCATCATAGGTTGATAATATATATAATCAAATATATGTAAACCTACGAATAAGTCTAAAGAACAGAAACAAAAATTACCAGCTCTGTGTGTGTAATTTTAAAAAACGGATCAGGACTGTCAGGGTAGGGAGCCCTTCCTTCGCCCCTTTT